CAGAATGGAGAGGACAGCGGAAGCGAGACTTCCTGTGAATATCTTTCCATAGAGTTTTGGTTTTTGATTCAAAAATGTATGTTCAAAAGTAAATAAAACTAGAGTTGAAAAAATTCCATTCATCTTCCCCAGCTGGTGTAGCTCCCTCTGGCTCAAGGACCAGTCATCACCTACTTGGGAGTGGAGTGGTAGATTTCAAGAGCCATGGCCAGATGCTTTAGACAGGACATCAGTTCCCCTCTGCTGCTGTCCTCTAGGTCTATGCTGGACCTTGTAACTGAGGTCAGGTGGCATTTTACACACCACATGCTAACCACATGCTTGTCTTGTTTTCCTGGGATTGGGCTCAGCCATTGAATCCTATTATTCTATCCTTCTGAGTTGGGGGCTCCACTTTGCTCCTACCGCTAAGGCAGGTTTATCCCTTCACCCTCCCTTGGCACTGAGTCTGGTCTCTCCAATCTTGGCTGCCTGCTATGGCCTTGGTACTCACTGATGACTATATTTGACGCTACCTGCCTATCTGGATTGTCAAATATGAGTTTCCTTCTTATTGAACATCCCCTGACACCTGACACCCACCACCTACCAGAAGTACTGGGGGAACTATAGAAATCTAAATTCTAAAATCTCTAGCTGGTCCACATTTTAGGGAAGGCCCATGACCATTGGCCATGTTCTCTGGAACCTCCTGGGTGAAGCTCAAAATGCTGCACGTCTCCTAATTTCCCAGGCTGAATTTGGTTCTGTAGCTTCTGCCCAAGTCAGCAGATGAGTCAAATTCCAGGGCTGGACACTGCCAGGCTGTTCTAGTACACTGTAGTTACACCTTCCATGCACAACTAAGCCACAACATAGGAGCCACTTCCTTCCTTCTCCCAGATCAGGACTACCAATAATTTGGGAATGGAAAATGCTAGATTTATAAAGAAACATTATTTATGTTTGATTAGACTTTACTAGGTTACATTCTTTTTTCCATCTTTCTTCTTTCATAAAAAAAACTAAAAAAAAATAATTTCTAAGGTATTAGGAAAGTTATTTATGAAAGAGATGTTTATATTCCATTGAAAGTTCCTTTGTAGAAATAGTCTTACACATTTCATAACAGTGGCAATCTTCTGTTCTATACAAAATTTGTTTAATTTTAATTTTTTTTAAGATTTTATTTTTAAGTAAGCTTTACACCCAAAGCAGGGCTCGAACTAACAACCCCGAGATCAAGAGTCTCATGCTCTACCAACTAAGCCAGGCAGGCACTTCCAGAATTTTTTTTCATAAAATTTATTATAAAGGCTTTCGAAGGAAGCATGGGCTCTGAGGGAAATGTTCAAATAATACACTGAGTGATTTTTTATGTGACCTTTGTGGGGAATAATTTAGATTTTTTAAAACCTTCAAATTAAGAATATTTCAGTTTATCCATATTGGCAAATCATTTAGGGAAAAACATTATTGGAGTCTAAATAACTTAGAATTACTGATCATTTGAATAGGTACAAGACTAAAACTAAATATATTCATTGAAAAAGAGAATCAAAAATCATCCGGCATGGACACACCCACACCTTCCTCAATCTCCCTCAAACACACATTCAACATTCTCACACCTCAAGACACATCGCACATCCCCAGATATACCCAGAAACAAACATACACAAATATCATTAGGAAATTGAAACCATGGACATTTCAAAAGTTATCAGTCCAACAATCTCAAGGATATTCGAACTTCATCATAACTAAAGATTAAGGAATTGAGATTGAGGAGGATTGAGGAGTTGAGTCAGGAGGGAGAAATATCTTCCTGTTCAGAAGCATAAAACAATGAATATTTGTTTATTATAGAACATAGGGCCTTTCCTGACACCATTTGTTGTTCCATTTATTGCATTTACTTGAAGAAATAAAACAGCATTAAAAATATTCAAGCTTTAGGGGCACCTGGCTGATTCAGTCAGTAGAGCATGAAACTCTTGATCTTGGGGTTATGAGTTCAAGCCTTACACTGAATGTGGAGATTACTTAAAAATAAAAACCTTTATAAAAAATATTCAAGGGTGACTCAGTTGGTTACGCATCTGGTTTTTGATTTCAGCTCAGGTCATGATCTCAGTGTTGTGGGACTGAGCCCCATGTTGGGCTGTGAACTCAGTGTGGGGTCTGCTTCAGATTCTCTCTCTCCCTCTGCCCCTCCCCCCACCCATGCTCTCTCTTCTAAATATATCTTTTTTTAAATGCATTAAAAAATATTTTAGTTTTAGACGAATTTAAATTTGTTTTCCTCATTTAATCTGAATTGGTGATGCTTTCTAAAGTCTAACATAAAATAATCTTAGAACTTTGTGCAACTTTTCCCCCTACTTAACATAGATAGTTGAAAGTAAAATGATTTTTGAGCTGTACAGTAGTAAAATGATATCCTAATCCAATTTTCATTTCAAAATTAAAATCATCTTACAATATTTTCAAATAATCAATATATTACATAGTCATTGTATGAAGTCCAGGCAATAAAAGGCTTTAATAGAAAATCAAAATCAGGGGCAACCTGGGTGGCTCAGCGGTTTAGCGGTCCCTTCAGCCCAGGGCCTGATCCTGCAGGCCCGGGATCGAGTCCCACATCCAGCTCCTAGCATGGAGCCTGCTTCTCCCTCTGCCACTCTCACACTCTCTCTGTGTCTGTGTTTCTCATGAATAAATAACATCTTATAAAAAAAAAAAAAAGAAAAGAAAAATCACCCATAATTACACTTAATGGAGAGCATTTATTTAAATGTTGCAGGGATGCCTAGTGGCACAGTCAGTTAAGTGTCTGACTCTTGGTTTCCACTCGGACGGTGATCTCAAGATCGTGGGACGGAGCCTGGCGCCATGCTCTGAGCTCAGCACAGAGTCTTAGGCCTCTTTCTCACTTTCCTTCTACTCCTCCCCCCACCTCTAAAATATATAGAATCTTTTTTTTTTTTAAATATGGAGGTAAATTTGGGGGTAAATCAAGACTTCTTCTACCACTTCTGGTTCTAGCAACATGAAAAGGCTGATGTGGACACTCTCTAGGATAAAATATAATAAACAAATTATTGCTACACAGATAAATTACATTTTTAAAAATAGATAACTGAGTCAAGAAGGAAGAAAGGGGAATTCTCTGGTAGCTGGAATTAGAAAGTTGGGCTGATGGAACCAGCACCTAGAGAATGGAGGTTGTGATATAAACCTCACATGAAGACAAAGGACATGGCCTTGGGTCCACTCAAGATGAATATCTGGAATTAAGAGGATGAATTAAGGAAAAGCTCTTGCAAAGTTGCTTAGTCCATAAAAATGGCACTAACAAGAAGTCCAATGAGGAAAAAGAGCAAGGTATCTTGTAATAGTCAAGGCTTTGAGTCTGAAAGAAAAAGAAACATCTCTTCTGAGATAAGAAATTAAACCATGCCTGAGTGTAGGATTGAATTTTATGCTAGTCTTTTAGGACAAGAATTCTCAGCTGACACACTAACAAAAAGTTGGGCAAGAAAAACAAATTTGCTCAAGGCCCATGAAAACTCTAGGACCCTTGCAGAACCAAAAATTAATCCACATATCAGGACAAATCTACAATCTCCCACAGAAAGGACCATCACTGCTTAAGATGAACTCACAATAAAAAATTACAAACCATGTGAGGATATGAGGATGAATCAAAAGGCTCAATTATCAACAAAATCATAGAACTATTGATAATTGAACACTCTTAAAAGGTACTAGAAACATTACTATGTTTAAGATTATTAAAGAGGTAAAAGAAGGAATTGAAATAATGGAACAAGAAGACAATATGAACAGAGAATAAACAGATTTGAGCCAGGACCAAATTATACTCTTGGAAATAAAAGATTAATTCATTCAAATTAACAACTCAATGAATAAATCATGTAAAATGGTCAACTGAAAAACAGACCTGAATAAACCACCTGTAATACAACACAGAGATAACAAGATGGAAATATAAAAGAGAATTTCTGAGACATGGAAGACAGAATGAGAAGTTCTAATACATACTTCTAAAAGAAATTTGTAGAGACATTCACAGGGATAATGGGAAAAGAAAAATACTGTTATAATTCACATGTTGTATGGTTGTTTTATGTAGTAAACCCAAAATTATCCACACAGAAATTATTAGCATTGGTAAGAGTGTTAGTGATATAGACACAAAATCAAAATACATCTTTCTGGAAATTTTCATGTTTTCTATTTTCAATTTAATCCTCCTAAAGTTAGTGAAAAGCATCTCCTTGTCTTTTTTACCCCTGTTCCATCTAAACTTGTGACACCTTTATCAATTTCATGATATTTATCTATGCCTTTTATTTCTCTTGAGTAGTCACACCAGAGTTTATCTATTTTGTTAATCTTTTCAAAGAATATTTTGTTTTTCTTGAGTCTATTATTTAACATGATTTCTGTTTAATCAATCTATTATTTATACAATGGCTATTTAATTGGTTTCTGCTTTTTTTTTTTTTTTTGGTTTCTGCTCTTTATAGTGTTTTTTATTCTACTTCCTTTGTGTGGGTTTTCTTTCCCTGTTATTCTTCTTTAACTTTCAAACTTGGAAACATAGCTATTTAATTTTCAACCTTTAGGTATTGAGGTTACATATTTTTCTCAGAGTACCATTTTCCTCTATCCAACAATATGTCTTTTGTATAATAAGTGAGATGGGAGAAAAGAACATATATGTATAAAAATAAACACTGATAAGGTACATAATTAGAACTTATACCCTTTCATCATATCATATACAAAAATCAACTCTAATGAATTCATGAACTATATATAAAATACAAAACTATAAACATTTAGAAGTCAATATGGGAGAATACTTTTATGATATCAAGGATATAAACATTTTCTTATACAAGAAATAAAAACTGAAAGCCACAGAGGAAAAATTGACAAATTTGGCTACATTTAAAATAACTATATCCATTTTATCAAAAGCCACCATAATGAGAATGAAGCGATCAGCCACAGACTAGAAAGAGATTTGCTAAATATATTTTTATATACAATATACACTTGTTAAATATGTTAACTATCAAGGGATTAGTATCCTGGCTATGTAAAGAATTCTTATAAATTAATGAGCAAAAACAAACCAATTTTTTTAAAAAGACCAAGGGAACTGCACAAGCATTTTATAAAAAATATAAATGGCCAATAAACATATAAAATGTCACTCAGTCTTATTACCAATCAGAAAAACACAAATTAATTCTATTATGAAGAACCATTACATATCCAAAAAATTGGCAAATATTCAGGCCTAAAACTATCAGGCATCAGCAGCAATGTGCAACAAGGCAATTTGTCATATAGTACTGATGGGAATGTAAATTAGTACAGTCATTTTGGAAACCAATTTTGCTTTATGAAGATGTCCATACATTATGACCTAGCAATTCCACCCGTAAGTATAAACTCTAGAGAAACTATCCATTTGCAGGAGGTGTTTATGAAAATGCTTAAAGTAGCTTTATGCCTACTAGTAAAAAACTAGAAATAAGCCAATGTCCATTAACAGTTAAGATGGGTAAAATGTGGATGATGGAATACAATATAGTAAGATTAGGAATAAATTATAGCTATCTTCAACAACTTAGTAAAATCTCAGGAACATAATTTTGAGTGGAAAAAACAAATTGAAAAATAGATTCAACATTAGTCCACTGATAAAGTTTTAAAACATGCATAACAATTTATTTTTCTTGTAAAACTACCAAGAAAACAAATAAGTGATAAATCGTAAATTTAGGATAAGAGTGGCCTCTGAAGGGAGAGGAAATGAGTAGGGTCATTAGCAGACATTCACAGGAGGATCACTAAAAGATGTATTTGAGTAAGAAGGAAAAAAAGACCCAGAAAAGATATGAGAAACACAGAGGAGAGGTAAGCAAAGAAACTGGCAAACCTTTTTGTAAAACTAAAAAAATGGGTAGGGGTGCCTGGGTGTCTCAGTCGGTTAAGTGTTCAAATCTTGATTTCAGTTCAGGTCATGATCTCAGGGTTGTTGAGATTGAGCCCAGCATCAAGCTCTGTGCTTGGTGTACAGCTTGCTTAAGGTTCTCTCTCTCCTCTTCCTCTGCCTCACCCCTACTAAAAAAATGAAAATGAAAATGAAAAAAACAGAGGTGGATCCATGTTTTGTGGCACCTAAAGCTTGCATAATTTGGGGAACACATTTTAAGAAAGGAATACTAAAGTATTAATAGAAAATTAGGTACACAGTTTACATTTCTGGGATGCCTGGCTGGTTGGGTCAGTGAAGGATTTGACTCTTGATCTTGGGATTGAGTTTCAGACCCATGTTGGGTGTAGAGATTACTTAAAATATTTATTTTTTGTGTGTTTTTTTTTACCAGTTTTTTAATGTTATTTAAATTCAATTAATTAACATATAATGTATTACCAGTTTCAGAAGTAGAGCTCAGTGATTCATCAGTCTTATATAACATCCAGTGCTCATCACATCAGGTGCCCTTCTTAATGCCTATCACCCAGTTACCCCATCCCCCACTCCTCTTACCTCTAGCAACCCCTGGTTTTTTTCCTATATTAAGAGTCTTTTATGGTTTGTCTCCCTTTCTGATTTTGTCTTGTTTTATTTTTTTCCTCTCTTCCCTATGATCCTCCATTTTGCTTCTTAAATTTCATATAACTGAGATCATATGACACTGTCTACTCGGACTTATTTGGCTTAGCATAATACACTCTAGTTCTAGCCACATGGTTGCAAATGGCAAGATTTCACTTTTTTGATGGCTGAGTAATTAATATTCATATACATATACCATATACATATATATATACACTATATATATATACACACACACACACATACATACCACATCTACTTTATCCATTTATCTGTCAATGGACATCTGGGCTCTTTCCATAGTTTGGCTATTGTGGACATTGTTGCTATAAGCATTGGGATACAGGTGCCACTTTGGATCACTACATTTGTATCATGGGGTAAATACCAAGTAGTGCAATTGCTGGGTCATAGGATAGCTCTATTTTCAACTTTCTGAGGAACCTCCATACTATCTTCCAGAGTGGCTGCACCACCTTGCATTCCCACCAACGGTATAAGAGGGTTCCCCTTTCTCTGCATCCTCACCAACATCTGTTGTTTCCTGACTTGTTAATTTTAGCCATTCTGACTGGTGTGAGGTGGTATCTCATTGTGGTTTTGATTTGTATTTCCCTGATGCTGACTGATGTTGAGCATGTTTTCACGTGTCTGTTGGTCATAAAATAAAATCTAAAAAAAGGGATGCCTGGGTGGCTCAGGGCCTGATCCCAGTGTCCTAGGATCAAGTCACACATCAGGTTCCTTGCAAGAAGCCTGCTTTTCCCTCTGCCTATGTCTCTGCCTCTCTCTGTGTGTCTCTCAGGAATAGATAAAATCTTTTTTAAAAAATCTTTTTAAAAAAAGTTTACTTTTCCTTAGAATGAGAACAGAAATCACAACAAATAAAAAATTTAAATAACAGAACATGGTGGGGAAGAAAGAAAGGGAGGCAAACCATAAAACAGACTCTTGGCTATAGAGAACAAACTGGGGGTTGTTGGAGGGAAGATGGGTGGGGGATGGGCTAGATGGGTGATGGGGATGAAGGAGGGCACTTGTGATGAGCACTGGTGTTGTATGTAAGTGATGAATCACTAAATTCTATACCTGAAACTAGTATTATGCTGTATGTTAAAATTATACTGTGTGTTAACTAATTTAAACAAAAACTTGAAACAAACAAATAAATAAATAAATTGCAGCTACATGCTACAAAAACTCACAAAATCCAGGAATGTAATACAATCTTTAATTATTTTTGTTATAATTTCACCTCTTCTATAATACATTTCATTCTGTACATTTTTTTGACTCCATACTCTTTGCTCATCTCTTAATGTGACAAGGACTTTTAAATATTGTCCTATGTAAAGAGGATGAAAGACACATCAGTCTTCTAACACAGTTGGCCAAAATTTATTCTTTTTTTAAAAAAAAGTCAGTCATAGTTTAGAAAAATTTATTTTAGCTTCACATTCATTATTGGTAATGGAGGAAGGCTTCAGATAACTCCAGCCCTTTGATCTCACTGTCAGAGCAAGCTGTTCAGGTCGGCTGGCTTTCACCACACCTAGCATCCCTCCCACCCCTACCTTGCCAGGGCAGTTCTCAGCAGTGGTGTGTGCCAAGTCACATGACCCTCAAGCTAAGAGCCGAGCAGTGTCCTAGTCAGATTCTTCTCACTGAGGAAGATTCTGATGCTCCATGGGACCCACGGAGTGCAGGCTTCCACTGGGAACTGCTGTCCAATGTCCACCCGCCTCTCCTGCAGCTCCAAGACCACCACTAGGATGAGAAATGACCTCCAGACCAGCAAGACTACATTCTTCCACTATCTTGGGGTGTTGCTTCTTCCTGGTTTCATAGCCTGGGGAGGGTCCATCAAGTTAAGAGTCCTGCAGCTGAAATATTAGCTTCATGGGAAATCAGCATTTAGCAGGAACTACAGAAAATAATATTAACAAGAACAGCAGTAATAGTAATAATTGTTAGAGAAACAATTACTTCCCACTCATATATCCATCGAAAGAAATTCTACTCTCATCTCCACAGTGCTAACATAAGAACACTCATAACTTCTTTCTGCTTACTTAACCATTCCACCCAAAGGCAGGAGAATGGGAAAGTTTAGGAGGCACAGCTCACCATGCTTGGCTCAGCCCCGCTATTCTCTCTCCTTTCAGACCTGCCTGCCTCCACAGAAGGAACATTCTGGTCTGCCTGGGTCCAGGTGGTGAATAACCAGCCTTATTAGGGAGACCTGCTGTTGTCTCACTGTGCCATGGGGGGCTAAATCCATCTAATTCAGGAATAAAGTATCAGCAAGTCCATCTGGCCACAGATCTAAAATCATTTTCTCTATCAGCTTTATCTGAAATAAAGCTAATATTGTATTTCTCATCTTCCACCTCTAATTCCTGCCTTTCTCCCCCTCTTTCTCCATATTGGTTCTGAATTTCAAAGAGGAAGAGAAGTGCTATGTGTGGGATACTCTACAACTCTAATAATGAAGGCTAATTTGGGGACACTTTTAAAAATAGGCGCCACCAGGGGCATTTGGGTGGCTCAGTTGGTTAAGCATCTGTTTGCCTTTGTCTCAGGTCATGATCTCCAAGGTTTTGGGATCAAGCCCCTCATTGGGCTCCCTGCTCAGCGGGGAGCCTGCTTCTCCCTCTCCTCCCTTCTCATGCTGTCTTGCTATCTCTGTCTCTCTCTCAAGTAAATAAAATCTTAAAAAACAAACAAATGAAACTAATAAACTAGACAACAATAACATGGGAGAAGAGAGAACAGAGCTATTAATTAAATGTAGTCTTTCTTGGGCAGCCCTGGTGGCTCAGCGATTTAGTGCCACCTTCGGCCTAGGGCATGATCCTGGAGACCCGGGATCGAGTCCCATGTCGGGTTCCCGCATGAGCCTGTTTCTCCCTCTGCCTGTGTCTCTGCCTCCCTCTCTGTGTCTCTCATGAATAAATAAATAAAATTTAATAAATAAATGTAGTCTTTCTTAAGTCAAATGCAGCATATTCAAAATTTAAGGGTAGCCTCTAACAGAAATAAAATATGTCTTTTAGAACACTGAAGAAGGAAAAAGGGAACAAAATCAATCCAACTGGAATCAGTAAAAACCCAAATAACAAGAAAAAAAATGTTAAATAGCACACATAAGATGGTGGAGATAAATCCATCAGTAATCCTAATAAGTGGAAACATTAAATTCAGCTGTTAAATAGCAGAAATTATCTGAATTGAAATACAAATCCTATATGTATGCTCTTTGCAAGCATAAAAGGGAAGAATGCCCAAAATGCGAAGTAAAATTATGGAAAAAATACACCAAATATTAAACAAATGAAGGCAGAAAAGTAGTATTAATCAGATGAAATAAAATTTAAGGAAATAGGGGAACTCAGCTGGCTCAGGTGTTAGAGCATGCAACTTTTTTAAAAAAAGATTTTATTTATTCATGAGAGACACACACACACACACACAGAGGCACAGACACAGCCAAAGGGAGAAGAAGGCCCCATACAGGGAGCCTGACGTGGGCCTGGATCCTAGGACTCCAGGATCACACCCTGGGCCAAAGGCAGCGCTAAACCACTGAACCACCCAGGCTGTCCTAGAGCATGCAACTCTTGATCTCAGGGTTATACGTTTAAGCTCCACACTGGGTATAGAGATTACTTAAAAATAAAATCTTTAATAGAAAATACTTTAAGGCAATAGTATTAGGTATTAGAAAGGGCTACCATTGGGTGCCTGGCCAGCTCAATTGGTAGAGCATGGGACTCTTGATCTTAGGATCATGAGTCCAAGCCCCACGTTGGACATGGAGGCTACTTAAAAAATGGGAGAGCCTATCATTAACAATAAAAAGAACAACCACCAAAAAAAAAAATATAATAATGCTGACTTGCATGCCCCCCAAAATATAGCCTTAAAATATTTATAAAGATAAATAATGATATATATACTAAAGAAATTATTAAATCCCCCATCATGGTAGGTATTTTTTTTAAAGATTTTATTTATTTATTTGAGAGAGAGAAAAAACACAAGTGGAAGGAGGGGCTGATGGACAAGCAGGCTCCCTGCTAGGGAGCCTGACCTGGGGTTCAATGCCAGGACCCCAAGATCATGACCTAAGCATGGTAGGTATTTTTAACACATCTCTCAGGAACTGATATAGAAAGCTTACAATTAATTAGGAAGTATAAAATGTCTTGAACAACACAATTAATAAGCTAGCTCTAATGAACATATATACAGAATCCTGCCCCCAATAATTAGGGAGAACCGATCATTACTAGAAAGTGACACAATCCAGTCACAACAAATACCAAAGAATTCATTTCATACACAGCACATTTCATAGCACAACGCACCATCATCAGAAATTTAAAAACCAACAAATTTAGAAATCCTATCACTTTAAAAACTAAAAAGCACTTTAAGACAGATTGATCGATCAATCAATAGATGAAATATATGAAAGGGCAACTAGATAGACACAGAA